TATATTTGGAGATAATTTGTTATACAGCTACAGATAACTGATACACTCACAATGTTGAGTAAAAAAAGCCAGACGCAAATCATCCAGCCTGGGAAAAAAAGACAGCACAGTCTACCTTCTTTCACTTCTCTTCAAAATATTAAGCACATACTCATTGTCAAATATTGGAATAAAAAGTGGGGAATCAGGACAGTACCCCCAGACACTGTACATATTCTCATTTGTGGGGCTCACCCCAGGCCTTGTCTGTCCTGGGGGCAGGGCCCCTCTGCACCCTGTGGGTCCTGGGGAAGGGCAGCTCTGTGAGGAGTCTGGAGGGGGAGGTGAGAGCAGCAGAGAAGCCGTATGTGGAGACGGCTGCTTGGCCTGGGCCGAACCTGCAGCTCCCTCGGGGCCCACAGGGTCTCTCCCACCCAACCATCAGTGCCGCCAGGATACCGCAGCTCCAGCCCAGCTCTGCCACTAACCTGGCCCGTGGCCTTGGGCTAGTCCCATTCCTTCTCTCATCCTCAGTTTCCCCACCTGTGAAAGGAGGCCTGGGCTGGATGCTGTCCTAGTGCCTTCCAGCTCTGGGGCCTGCTCTGCCCGTTCCCACTCACCGTGGCCTCGGCACAACCACAGGCGGCAACGGAACATTGCTTGGAAATAAAGAGAGACTATTTGAGTAAACAAACAGCTTCAAAGTCCTGGTTCCCAAACTATGTCCTGAGCCAGCTCCGTGTCACCCTGGGCAGAACTCCCCAAGTCCCTTTCCCTGGCCGTATAAGGAGAAAGAAGGACAGAGACTCGCTGCTACAGGTTATAAGCACAGGACTGAGGAAAAAGCCGTCTCCAAGGACCTCGGTGACTAACCAGGAATAAGGAATAAATCAAATGCCACTCGACACCTCCTCTGGGTCACACTGCCCTGCCTCCCCTGAGCCTGGGACTGAGGCACCTGAAGAGGAAGCACAGGTGGCCTCCTCCTGAGCCTGGGTCAGCAAGCCCCCTCCCTGAGGCCCAACTCCAGTTAGGCAGGAGCATCTCCTCATAGCCCCCTGGTCCTGGGCCCTAATAACCTCTCCTTGCCCTCCAGTCTCCTCCCATCCAGCCAGAACCATCTTCCCAGAGCACAGCCACGGCCTACTTTCCCCCAACCCACCCATTCAAAGCTCTCTAACTCCTAACCCTCTTTCAGGCTTTCCTCTGGGGGTATCATGAGCCTGTGTGCATGGGTTCCATGCTTTCCCCACTCCTTCGCTCTGCACCTGGGATGCCACGGCCTCCACTTCACCTGGGAAACTTTCCACCCTATGGGTCTATGCAGCATCTATAGGTTTATCTCAAAATCTGCCTCCTCCAAGCAGCCCTCCCTGATCCCTGTTCCTGACTAAGCCTTCTCCCTCTCATGGATCTCACAGCCCATTTCCTGGCTGCTGGAGCACCTGGCATGATGGTGCTTTCTGTAACTATCTTTCCTCCATCCAGAGAGGAAGTTTCTGGAGGGCGGATCTGGAGCCTCAGTCCCACACACAGCCCAGCAGGGTCCTGGCAAGCAGCCAGCATCCATCAAAATGTCGAGATGAACCTAAAAAGAGACTCACTGGATGGGAGGTGTGCTGAGCAGTGCTCAGGGCCCAGGCCAGAGGACAGATGAGAAAAGCCAGGCTAACATCACATGAAACTACAGCTGCTTTGAGAACCCAAACAGGAAAAGCATTATACATGGACTCTGGAGTCACACAGACCTGGGTTTGAATCTTGCCCCTCTTGCTTCTTGTGTGGCCTCTGGCAGGTTGCACAGCCTGCCTGGCGCTCAGTTTCTTCATCTGTGCTATGGGGGTGGGTTGTAACATCCACTTACAGAGTATTTGTAAACATTAAATTAGATAACAGACGCAAGGCACCCAGTATGATTCTTGGCGCATGATACTTGCTCAGGAAATTCACTCTTAGAATAATGTGTGAATTCCCTAGATCACCTTCCTAGTAATTCTAAAAGTTAACAACTTCAGAGTTTACATCTGCTATCTCCTTAGAAGCAGATTCTTACCATCCCCATCTTACAAGCAAGGAAACAGGCTCAGGAAAGTAAATTTGTTTGAACCAGGGTGATCAGCTAGCGTAAGGGTGATGGTTAGCATGGGTACCATCTTGGACTCTGGGGTGACAGTGTGTGGAGGGAGGGGGCAACTCCCTGGCAGCTGCCACCACAGTGACCTGAAGCCAGGGCTCTCAGTCCTCTTTGGCTGACATTCTGCCCGAGGAGTTAAGTTTCAGCTGACTCTGGGTAGACCCTGACTTCCTGCCAGGCCAGGCTGGGATTCACATGAGTAGCCAATCCCAGGGCCTGGCCCAGGGCTGCTGCCAAGCCTGCATGCCTTTGTTCCATCTCCTCTGTCCCTCTTGCCTCCAATGGAGCAGAGTCAGCAATGGCCAAGGGAGGGTGCCCAAGGGGTGGGGGTGGGGAGGGCCTGAGAATGAGTGAGGCAGCAGCAGACCACTGGCATGGGAGAGATGCAAGGAGTCCACTGCAGCTAATGCACGTGACACGGCTGCTGACGGCTCATGTGACCACTTTCTATGAATGAGAAAAAGGTGTCCTCTCTGGGTGAACAAAGCCCCATACTGAGGCACCAAGCTTGGAGTGTGGATTCCGGGTTGAATTTTGCTCTCTGCTACCTCATTGTGTCATGAACAATATGCATGACCATCCAAGACAACTTCCTTACCAGGCACCCCTGAAGGACCAGGTCCTGAGCTGGGCCCTGAGACAGGAGTTGCCTCAGACATAGCACCAGCTTCTGGGAAGCTCAAGGGAAGCCAAGGTGCTAGGGAGCCCAGAGGAAGAAGCATTTAACTCTCTTTGGGCAGAGGTTTGGAGGAGCTATGGCAAGCTAGTGGGAGAAGAAGGGGATAACCTGGATCTCAAAGAAAAAAACAAAACACCCCTGATGCATGGTGTGCCAATTTGCCAATTTCCATAGTGTAAATACTCCCTCCTATCATGAGCAATTCAAGGTACCAATGTGCCATCACTGGTCTTGGGAAAAGATATGCACAATCAGTTCTTGCAAGCTGGTTCAAGTTGTCTCTAGAATACCACTAAGATAAAGAGAAGCTTCAACTAAACCCAGAAGGCAGAGAAGAGGGTAGAGGCAGGTGAAGACATTCCAGGAGGAGGGAAAGGCAAGGAGGCATGAAAGTAAGTGGGGAGCAAGCTGTGAATGGTTTTGAAAGGGTTATGGTTGGGAAGGGAGTCAAAATCTTCTGGAGGTTGGTAATGTTTTAGTTTCTTGACCTGGACAGGGGTTACATGCCTGTTATAATCCTTAAGCTATCTATTTAAGTTTTATGTACTTTTCTGTATGTTTGCCATATTTTACAATAAAAAAGTTAAAAACTAGTGATAATCTCACTCAGGTATAATCACTGTTTAGAATTTGTAATATTTCATTCCAGTCTTTTTTCCATGCATACATTAATATAACCATTCAGCAAAAATTTTCCATGTAGGGGAAAAAAATAACTAAGTCCCCCATTTATAAAAAAGGAAAACATTTTAACATCAAAAGCAATATGTTACAGTGGAAGAGGTGTGAGTTTTGGAGTCAAGGAGACCTGGATTCAAATCCTGCTTCCTAAATGCTGACCTTGTGACCCTAAAAAAAGGGCTTATCTTTGGCCTGTCTGGACTGCTTTCTGAAAACTGAGATTGAAGATGTAGGAATTCACTCAAGGTGGTGGCAAAAGTATTAAAAGAAAAATAGTAAAGTTATATAGTTTCAAACTCTTTCAGAAGGCCTGAAAGGTTCTTCATAGTTTTAGTAGCAGTTTCAGCCAAAGGCAGCCTGAATCCCCCTTACATTTAGTTAATAAGTAAAGCAAATAGCTAAGGTATGCAAAAGAGTTTACCTAACTAACTTGTTTACTCACATGGTCTTAAAACTAATCTTTGAGCCGGATGGCTCTCTCAGGAGAAGGTTGACCAAGGATATTATCCGCTAATGGTGTTTGCTTTAAGCATCAGAACCTGTGCTTTAATATTCACTCTGGTGGTGTTAACTCAAGCTTTTGTGAATTAAACTTTACTAAATAAATGCAAGTCTCTCTAACTAGTAAAGGATGGCCATTGCAACTGTTTACAGCACTCTCCAAGGAGTCTGCAAGCCACCCAGTCCCTCAGCTGAACTAGCAAAACATAATATCTGTGTGTCAGTGTACTTTATTCATCTGTTGCTTAGTAAAAGTTTGCAAGACAGACCCCTGCAGGTAGTAACACTGAAAATGATACCCACATTCTGCAGGGTTGTTGTGAAGATCAAAGATGATGGATGTAAGATGTGTAGCTCAGAGCCCGGCCTACAGGAGACACTCAACACATGTAACATATAAGATATTGTTATTAGCAGCCTCTCAGAAAGTTGGAGCTGAAAGTTACCCTGCAGATAAATGACTGGCCCACAGAAGTTACAGAGAAACAGTAACTCTGTAAGAATAAAGACAAACTAGAATTTGCCCAGAGAGTAACCTGAATGGTAAGGAAACTCAAAAGTCCCGTTAAATGGAGGAGAATGAAGAAAATGGGGGATTTTAACCTGGGGAAGGGGAGTTTAGTAGTTCATGAAGTCTGTGCAACAGATGTCCTAGAAGCAGAGAACGGATAGAAGCAGGGTACGGAGCTAAGCCCAACAAACAGGACTTACAGGGAACTGACTTCTACTGGATATATGGAAGAATGCTCTAATTGCCTAAGAATGGAAGGGGTGATGTTGGTAAGGAGAGTGTGCCCCATCACAAGAGGGACTCAAGCAGAACTGGAAGAGCACATAGTGGGAGTGATGAAGGAGGAAGGTGAACATGGTAGAGGATATGAACTTTGGGGACCTTGGAGGTCCCTCAAAGCTGGGCTCTGAGTGTCTATCATCAGCATTCTCAGCTCCATCCAGCAGCATGGGAAAAATTGCAGGCCAGTGGGCTGCACTTAGTTATAGACCTGAGGAGACCCTTGACCATCTCACCTGGTTGTCAATTTTCAGTTCCACCAGCGAAGTGTTGTGCGGGAGGGCTTCCACCAGGCGCAGGATCCCAGCTCCAGAAATGAAGTTGGATTCCACATTCAGTGTCTTCAACACCTTATTCACCTTGAGCATCTCAGCAAGGGCCTTGAAGCACAGGAGAAATGTAAGGATGCCCGTGAGTCACCCTGAGCAAGGCTGGAGGCCCCTCTGGGTAGATCCTAAGACACCTAGGGGCACAGGAGGATGATCTCCACCAGGTCCTTCACCAAGCATAACTCTGACTGTGTCTCTCCTCTCCTGCAACCTGCCATGGCTCCCAATCCCCCACAGTAGAATTCTATGCTGCTTAGCCTACTTCCAAAGCTTCTGTGACTTGGGTCGCCTCCTCTGTCCAGAATCAGCTCTCACCACTCCTCTTTAGTGGGGCTACTCACAGCTCCCCATGCCTGCTCAGCTCAGTGCTTTTCCACTTTGTCTTTGCCCTTTTTATCCCTCCAACCTGGAACTCCCTTCCCTTTCTGCTTCCCTGTCCAAGCTCTGCCCATCTTTCAAGGCCATTCTCAATGGTCCTTTCCCCTAGAGCTCTTGCTGACATTCCCTAGCTGACTGTAGCCTACCCACTTGAATCCTCATAGAATGGAGCCATACTTCCCTCATTATGGACCTTGTATTCCTCTGTTCGGAGTTGTTTTCATACCAGTGTTGTCTCTGCCATTAGACTATATACTCCTGGTGGGCTGAAAATGCATCCTATCCATCCTATGTTGCTCACAGTACCCAGCACATATAGGTCCTCAGGAAATGTTCATTCAGCAACCAGTGGAGTTTCAACCTCCCATACATACTCCCCACTTGTCTCTCCTACTGCCCTGTGGAAATTCCATGGAGACATGGTTTTCTTCATCTGATCACTACAGAGCAGAAGAGGAAAGCCTGGGAAACCACCCACTGGGCAAGTAACCAGGGCAAACTGGAGAAGAGGAGCTTAGGTGGCCCCTAGCACGTTCAGAGGAACTCAGCCAAAGGGTATAGATGACAATCAGAGCCTCTGAAGGAAATGAGGTAATTAGCAGATGGTGGAAACGATATGTCATGGAGGAAAGAAGACACCAGCAGCTGATAGGACATACTGATCAGTGGGCCATGCTTTCTGAAATGACGCTCCAAGCTAGGAATACTTGCCCCATCACCCCTGCCTTGCTGAGACCTGCAGAGAGGCTCAGCTCCCAGGAAGCCCTTTGTTTTGAAATCATCACCCCTCCTCAGTGCCCCTCACTTCAGTGTGCCCCCAGGATGGCATGTCAGCTTTCTCTACAATGGTGTCTGTCTCGGACTTGGCTGGCCCTCCTGAGGGAATGGACCCAGTCAGAGTCCTCTCTGTACCCTCCACCAGAACCTCCCTGCTCCTAGGAAAGGCTTAATCAAATCTAATTTTTAAAAAAGTAATCAAAATAACAACCAGTAGGCAATTCACCAGGCTGATCCAACTGGACTTGCTGGTGGCTGAGTAAGTCCTGGAAGCACTGTCTTGACAGGTGTTAACTCCTTGCATGCTGGGTCCCAGTGGAGAAACCGGTGCCCAGAAGAAAAGCTAGGCTGGGCAGTGGGGGCACTGACAGAGCTCTGGCAGCCTGCTTTACCAAATGGTGAGGAAGCATCTCAGTGTTTGACATGGACATACTGGTATGCATGGACTGATATCAGCTGTTGGTCTGGCAGAGCCCATGTCCAAAAAGCATTTGTGGACCTCAGCTGAGGGCCAGCATGGACATGCTTGCTTTCTGATCCATGACATAGTAGCATACAGGGCATGTGGCTTTGCCAGCTGTGTTTTTATAGGCAAACTCAGGATCCATGGAGATCTGAGGTCCGAGGTCATCGATCCAGAGATTCCCCACAGGCAGCAATGGGAGACTGTGAGCTATTTCTATTATTTCAAAAATATGAAAGAACACTGTCCTACCTATTTTAAAAATCAGAAAAACACCGATTTCTACTAAATTGTCAATTACTGGCCCAGATGAACTAGTTTCTGCCCTTCTTGCAGGAACGTAGCTTTGCAGTGATCGCACTGTACTGTGATCCTGTAGTTGTCTCCTAGGCCAAATGGACTAGAATGTTTATGAAAGTGGGAGCTGAGACTGTGGGGTCACCGTTGTATTCCCAGAACCTAACGTAGTGTTGGGCACAGAGAGACTCTTAATACATGTGTGCTAGCTGTTTAAAAAGAAGAGTTGATGGCCACTTCAGAGTAAGTACAATTTAATTTGATCGGAAATGTCTTTTGCGACTTGGTAAAATAAAATTGGTCATTGGGACCTGCTGATGAAACCATTGATTTTATTTGATTTTAGTTAATTGATTGATTGATTGATTGAGATGGAGCCTTGTTCTGTTACCCAGGCTGGAGTGCAGTGGTGTGATCTCGGCTCACTGCATCCTCTGCCTCCTGGGCTCAAGCACTTCTCCTGCTTCAGCCTCCCAAGTAGCTGGGATTACAGGCATGCACCACCGTGCCCAGCTAATTTTTGTACTTTTAGTAGAGACGGGGTTTTACCATGTTGGCCAGGCTGGTCTTGAACTTCTAACCCCAAGTGATCCACCCATCTTGGTCTCCCAAAGTGCTGGGATTAGAGGCATGAGCCACTGCGCCCAGCTGAAATCACTGATTTTAGAGAAGGAAAAACTGAGGAACAGGGAGGGGCAGGCCCTTGTTCTAATATGATGTGCTGAGTGAAGACAGCGCCAGATTTAGGGTCACATGACTGCACTGGAATTGCAGGTCCGACCTCTCACTTGCTGTGTGACTGGACAAAACAAGTTGCCTGACCTCTCTGAACCTTAGGTTCTTTAAGTGCAAAGTGGGAGACCTGCACAGCTGAGACTGGCGGTGATTGTAAAGACTGGCCGGGATGATGTGTGGGTGGTGCTGGGTAATGGCTGATCCCTCTACACCCGCCATGGCTCCTGGTCCAGTGCTTTCCGCTACCACATAGAGCTCTTCATTAGTGAGATACAACCGGTCGTGAGGCCGTATATTTCAACCCTTCTGTTTCAAAGCCCCCTATCCACAATGCAACAGAATAGAAAGATACGTACATACGCCACGGGGTCGTTACTCCGTGTCCCCACGATGCTGAACTTCTTCACATATGAGTTTTCCTTCAGGGCTTCTGCATACGCCTTGAGGGTGGGGATGGGGATATTCTGCACAAAGAAAGGCAACAGAGGTTGTGACCAGAAGCCTCCCCTGGGGCAGGCTGAGGCAGGCAGATTAGCCTGGCTCCTCACTGATTTCTGGCAAGTCTCTGGCCAAAAAGCTGAATGGGCAAAAGGTTTGGGCTTTGTCCCAGATGACTAAGATTTGGGGAGAACTTTCTGGTAGAAAATCCTTCCTGAAAATTTCAGATAAGACCTGTAACTTCTTTGTGCACTTGGAGGCCAGAGAAGAGGCAAAAATTAAGGCGTGGAGTGTTGCAAAGAGCTAGGACTTGGGGTGTGGGGAAGGGCTGGACCTGGCTTTGGCCCCAGTGATTGGCAGTGTTTCTGACTTGCTATGTGTCTCTGTGGAAGCCTCTTCCCCTCTCTGGCCCTGTTTCTGGAAAACAGGAGAGGGGGTTACATACAATGTAACATCTTCCCCAGGGGGTCTCTGCTCCAGCTGCACATCAGAGACTCCTGGGGAACTTTTACAAAATGGTGATGATCTTCTCAGGTGAAAACCAATGAGATCAGGACCAACAGGCTCATAGCGGAGAGGGGAAACTGAGGCCAGAGGAGGCAGGCCTCACAGGGAGCTTCCATCCCTCATGCAGCCTTGAGGTGGCATTCACTGCCAAAGTGCCGCATTCTGAATTGTGCCAGTGTCTCCCACTGGGCACATGAAATCAAACATGGCTGTGTTTTTACCAATCTCTCATTTCAGAGTGTCACTTAAGCTCCCGAGGGAGCAGAGCACGGCGAGGCCAGGTGGAGGCAAACACTAGGGTGCAGGTTTCCAATCTGATGGTGCCGTGGGGCTGGCAGCTGCTTAAAAGAAAGTGGAGAAGGAAAGAAAGTGGAGCAGGGGCATGGGGGGCTGGCTTCTAGTCTTACCTCCACCCCCTCCCAGAACTAATCCGGTGGTCTCCGGGCTGAGCAGGTGGGTAGGCAGCTGCGTCTGTCTCTGAATTCTTTCTCCAGTGGCCTGTTCGGGGTGGGACTGCCTGCCCACCTGTCCCTCCCTGCCCTGGGGATCACATAAGGAAATGTCCACAGAGAAAAGGGCAGACGGCTTGGGATATTGCTTTGGACATTTTGGCCAACAGCTCCCTTCTGTGGCTGTAAAATGAGGCTGAATATGAAAGTGATACAGCAGCAGCAATGGTACAGGGGAGGGACCTGCCCAGGGCCTGTGTTACCCCCAAGCTTAGTGGGCAATGGACTTTTCCAGCCTTGAGATCCCGTGCAGCAGCGTGTGTCTGACTCATGATTTTATCTCAGAGAATCTCTCGGTGTTTTGAATAACGAGGCAGGTTTCCAGATTGAAGCGGGACTGGTCCATGCTAAACATCTGGCCCCGATATCATCCTCAGAAAGAAACCAGGACTGCGGGATGCGCTTGTTTACACTGCCACCCCGCTTAAAGGCTCCCATTTGCAAAGGTTTTGTCCCTATTCCTGATGCAGAAACACCCAGAGTCCAAACAGGACCCTGTTTACTCTGCACAGCCAAGCCTGGACCAACTGCGTTTGGGTGACACAGTTCCCCTCCCCCACCCACACACAGGGAAAGTGAAATAAATGGACTTTACCCGGATATTATTGAGGTTAACCTCTTCAAGTTTCGGGTCATTGTTCTTTATCCGTTCCAGCGTTTCCTCTACGTCTGTTGAGTTTGGTTCTTCGTCAGGCACAGGCTTGTATTGTGTGGGTTTAATCACACCTAGAGTGACCGACAAAAGGAAGTGGCTCACAGAAACAAGGGGCTCACTTTCTGCCAACACAAGGATGCTCTGGAAGGGAACGTGTGCAGAGTTTGGGCATGTGAAGGCTGCACATCGCAGGGGCTGGTGGGGGTAGGGGGCTCCACTCAGAAGCAGCCCCGCAAGGGAGCCAGGAGGCTGGGGTTCTATTTGGACTCTGCCTTTGAGGTGCTGCAAGAACTGGGTGAGTTACTTAAATTCTCTGAACCTTGGGTCTTCACCTGTAAAGCAGGGAGAGTCATTTCACCGGTTCTCATTACCACAGTGGGCTCTTGGGAGACCAAGATGAAGCCTGGATGGGAAAGAAATGCACCCGTCTTCCAGATGGAGAAATAATTATTTTTCTGGCAGCCTCATTTTTGTTTGGGGCCAAAATGCCAGCTTTGGAACAATGCAGTGGAGTAATTAAGGCAATGCAAAATTGGCCCAGGAAAGGACAAAAGGGCTCATGGAACAGAGGAGGCACCTAGAAATGGACCCACGTGGATGATAAAGGTGGAGGCCCAAACCAGTGATGAAAGGATCAATCTTGCAAGGAATGGTGTTGGGACCATCGGATATCAATTCAAAGAAAATGCAAGTTTGATCTCATTCCATAGCACACACAAACATGAACTCCAGGTAGATTAAGAAGTTGAAGGCCGGGTACGGTGGCTCATGCCTATAATCCCAGCACTTTGGGAGGCCGAGTCGGGTGGATCACGAGGTCAAGAGATCGAGACCATTCTGGTCAACATGGTGAAACCCCGTCTCTACTAAAAATACAAAAATTAGTTGGGCATGGTGGCGTGTGCCTTTAGTCCCAGCTACTCGGGAGGCTGAGGCAGGAGAATTGCTTGAACCCAGGAGGCGTAGGTTGCGGTGGGCCGAGATCACGCCATTGCCCTCCAGCCTGGGTAACAAGAGCGAAACTCTGTCTCAAAAAAAAAAAAAAAAAAAAAAAAAAAAGTTGAATATGGCTGGGTACGGTGGCTCATGCCTGTCTCCCAGCACTTTGAGAGGCCAAGGCAGGTGGATCATGGGTTCAGGAGTTTGAGATCAGCCTGACCAACATGGTGAAACCCCGTCTCTACTAAAAATGCAAAACTTAGACAGGCATGGTGGTACCCACCTGTAATCCCAGCTACTCAGGAAGCTAAGGCAGGAGAATAGCTTGAACCCAGGAGGCGGAGGTAGCAATGAGCTAAGACCATGCCACTGCACTCCAGTCTGGGCAACAGAACAAGACTCCATCTCAAAAAAAAAAAAAAAAAAAAGAAATTGAATGTAAGGCCAAGTGTGGTGGCTCATGCCTGTAATCCCAGCATTTTGGGAGGCCGAGGCAAGAGAATCATTTGAATCCAGGAGTTCAAGACCAGCCTGGGCAACAGTGTGACCTCATCTCCATAAAAAATAAACAAAACTAGCCAGGTATGACTTCATACACCTGTAGTCTCAACTACTCAGGAGGCAGAGGTGGGAAGATCGCTTGAGCCCAGGAGATCCAGGCTGCTGTGAGTCAAGATTGTGCCACTGCACTCCAGCCTGGCTGACAGAGCGAGACTCTGTCTTAAAAAAGAAAAAGTTGAATATAAAAAGTAAATCTCTAAAACTTTTAGAAGAAAATATAGGAGAACATTTTTATAATATTGGGATAGAGAAGGCCTTTGTAAACAAGACATAACTCCCAGGAGACTCAAAGGAAAGGATGAACAGATTTGGCTACACAACATTTTTTTTTTCTTTTTATCTGGCTACATAACATGTCAAAACTTCTGCAACCAGTCAGAGAATATCAGTGAGTGAAGGAGGCAAGAAGCATGAGGTCTCTCGGGGGGGCGGGTGCATACTCACTGTTGAGCCCCTCCTTGTTCATGATGGAGCTGCTGCTCAGGGCCTGGTAGTACTGCTGGTTGCTCATGAGCGTGTGCATGCCCAGGATCGCTGCAGGGACAAGGAAAGGGCCCGTGATGCGCCTCTGCAGTCTAAAGAGCCTCCTAGGGACCCACACTCCAAACCCTGGGAACTCTGGCTCACAGAAATGGCAAGAAACACTTACATGAAGAATCCAGAATTTTATTTTACTTTTACTCTCACCTCTGTTGATGTGACTCTGAAATCTCCAGCCCCAACCCAGGCTGCTCTGCCCCTGGCCTCTGAGTCCCTGATGTCCTGCTAGGACATCCAGCTCAATGTGGCCAAACCAGAATGGCTCTTTCCAGTGACAACCCCTTTTTTTAGAAGGGTCTCTTTCCATCTCGTCATCCTGCCTGTCCCTCAGGGTAAAACCCCAGAGCATGTCACACCTTCTCCTCGCAGGCCCATTCGGCTGCCCCAGTGCCTCTCAGATCCATCCCCCTCCCATCCCATCACGTCCGTCCTCGTGGAGGCCTGATCATTCCTGGGCTGTATCGCCACGGCTGTGTCATCACTGGTGCCCTGGTCTTGGCCTCTTCCTCCCAGCACGCAGCACAGAGCAGCCAGACATGCCAACCTGACCTCATCACTCCCATGCTCCGCCATTCATTCATTCAACATGTACTGAAGCCCACCCCAGCACTGTGTGCCAGGCTCTGGTGGGGACAGTGGAGAATAAGAAAGGCCGAGTCTCTGCTCCCGGGGATGAAAGTGTGCTGGGGGAGAGAGAACCCAAGCAAGTTCCCACGCAGTGAAAAAGCAGTGCAGGGTGTGGTGAGTGTGGTAGAGGAAAAGTTCAGTCCTGAGAGATCATAAAAGAGGGACTTGGGATGGGAAGGCGGAGTAAGTGTTGGCCAAGCTAAGAGAAGGGCAACAGAACATTCCAGGCAGAGGAATGCAGGTGGGAAAGCCTCGAGGTTCTGAGAAGCCATTGAAGGCATGAGCAAGAAATGAGATAGCCTGACCTGAGTTGTGACTACTGTGTTGAGAACTCACTAGAGAGGGGAGAGATGGACATGGCTGCAGAGCCATGAGGCTGTTGCAGCTGTCCGGATGGGAGGATGGTGGCTCGTACAGCCAAGTCCAAACCCAGAGCCTGGCTTCACAGTCCCCCCACCGGGGGGCCCCATCTCAACAGTGTTGTTGCACTCCCCGTCCCAACAGTCTCTGCTCCAGCCACACAAACAGTCCCTGCTTTTGCTAGTGCCCTCCTTTCTGTGGGTGATTCTCTGCACCCACTTGACTTGGAATTTTAGATAAACAACACATTTTTTTTAGCATAAGTAGGCCCCGTTCAACCTTGGGTCATATTTGTTGTTCTCTGAAATCTGAATTCAATTGAACATCCTGTATTTTATCTAACAAAAAAAAATCAGATCTCCCTCCCTCTCCTTCAAGACTGGGAGTGACCCTTCCTCCTCCAGGGAGTCCTCCTGGACTTCTCCTCTCCCTCTCTAGTTCTCCCACAGCACCTGGTGTATGCCTCAGAATCTACTTGGTGTTAGACATATCTAGATACACGTGTGCTTCTCCTACTAGACTGTAGGCTTCTGGAGGTCAGGGAAGGATATTCTCTCTTCTACCTCTCCCCGAATATGGTATTTGGCAAATATTTGGTGATAATTTTTTAAAAATACCCAAGTCATTTCATTAGATATGGTTTCCTGTTAGAGAGACAACATGGGAACCCTTAATGAAGAGTCAGGAGACCCAAGTTCCAGCCCTGACCATGCCCGTGATATCAGTGTGACCTTGGGCAGTTCCCCCGCTCCGCCCAGGCTTCAGCCTCCTCTTTCCGATGAGGCATGGAGACGAGACCAGTGGCTCTCGGTCAAGGCTGCACACACGGATCCCCCGGGGAGCTTTAAGAACATTTCAGTGCCTGTCTCCATCCTGGACCAACCAATCAGAATCTCTGGAGATTCTTTTTTTTAATCTCCTCAGGTGATTTTGTTGCTCAGTGCGAGTCGAAAACCACAAGACAAGATGATCTCAAATTCCCTTCTGTTTCTCACATTCTAAGATTCTTCTCTGCTAAAATTAGACTTGCTTGTTCATCACTAAGTGAACTGGTGGGGAGAGAGGCATCTGCATTTTGTCGAGCTCTCGGGCTTTTAATTTAGGCTGCGTCTACGTGGGCAACAGGAGCTGAGGCCTGAGTCAGCAGCAGGTGAATCAGATCACCACGAATGAGTCCCATCCCAGGGCAGGCTCTCGCAGTTCCCACACAGCAGCTGGTGGGGGCGGGGTGGGGGGAGGTTCTGGGATGTGCTGGGGTTTCAGGCTTGGAAACAGTTCGTAAAGGTTGTTGGGGATCACATGAAAGATGTAGCCTCATATGGCTGGCTGGCGTGGCTTAGAGTATAGGGAGGTGGAAAATGGAAAGTGCATTTGGCACACAGATGCCAGCTTCCTGTGATAGTCTAGAAAGAGGGATGGAGGCGGCAAAGTGACAAGAGACAGGAGACCAAGAGAAAGGAGACCTGCGTTTCAGTCTGAGCCTCGGTATGAATTTTCTGGGTAACCCTGTATAGGTCACTTCCCTTTTAGTGGCGGGGGGCTCAGTTTTCTCACTTGTAAAATAGTGTTTGAACTAATCTCTTACCTACCCATAGGATTTAGCCACACAACAATTTCTCATGTTTTTATCCTGTTTGACTTTCACAGTAAGTATCCAGGGGCTGGGCATGGTGGCTCATGCCTGTAATCCTAGCACTTTGGGAAGCTGAGGTGGGTGGATCTCTTGAGACCAGGAGTTTGAGACCATCCTGGCCAACATGGTGAAACCCGGTCTCTGCTAAAAATACAAAAATTAGCAGGGTGCGGTGGCGTGCACCTGCAATCCCAGCTACTTGGGTGACTGAGACAGGAGAATAGCTTGAACCTGGGAGATGGAGGTTGCAGTGAGCCGAGACTATGCCACTGCACTCCAGGCTGGGCAACAGAGTGACACTCTGCCTAAAAACAAATGAACAAACAAACAAAAAGCACCCAGGGCATCTGTGGTAGACTCCCCACCCCTAACTTTTTCAGCAAGCTCAAGAGGGAAATGGTTCGCCAAAACCATATAGCAAGGACCCTCGTGGCTTTTAAGCTAGTATTCTCATTCACTAGATTACCAGCAGTTCTAAACTTCTAAAACTTCCTCTTGACTTCGGTGTTCTAAGGACAGATAACATGTATTCTAGGATGTTACATATGTTAATAGCAGGGCTAAGAATAAGTAAAACCATTTTGTGGCTCAGAGAAAATTAGAATTCCAAAAAGGAAGGATGAAACGAAGGAATGAGGGAAAGAAGAAAGGAAAGAAGGAAGGGAAGGGCCTAGCTAAATTTGCATTGATGGGCAGAATGCCTTTGGGCTAGTATTACCTTCCACCAGGCCGCCAGACCGAGGCACAAAACCGAGACTTTCTCTCTCACTTGGTTTTGTGCCACACCACGTCGCCAGGAGTGAGTGACGGCAGAAAACAGCACATCAACATTGCCTGTTGCTTCATTCTTTGTAGATACTGGCAAGGCTGAATTTAGCACTGGGGAACTGGATTTTTTTTTTTTAAGTCTAGATCTTCCTCAAAACTCAAAAAGGACTATTTTTGAACTCTGAAAAAGAACATTGAGTTCTGTTTCCTCTCCCTGCCTTGGCAGAGTTCGCTCATTTGGTAATTCCACTCAGGACACAGGGAGATAACAGCACACATCCCCAGCCCCTGCAGCTGCCAGCTGCTCAGGCTGGCTCTAGGCAGATGGCTGGAAGATGTTCTCCTACATCTCAGGGACAGGTGGGAGAACTGGCTCCGGTCCAGGACTTGGATGCAGTTGAACTGCTCCTGGATAAGATACACCCTGCCACTGGTAGGGTAGCCGGACAGGTGCCTAAGCACATGGAAGTAACCAGAAGCCAGGGGGTGGTCTGGCTAAGCCTGCCTCTGATAGCCGCAAGACTCCCAGGTTGCCAGCTGCCCTTGGGGGTGAGTGGCCAGAGGCTGTCCCATCTAAATGATGAGTCTCCCTACCCCACTTCCTTCCTGGGTCCTGCCCCACCTGAAAGGTCCCTAAAGGCCATCCAGCATCACCTCGCTGAGTGGGCAGGGGAGGCACTGGGAATTGCAAGAGCTTCCTGACTCCCAGCAGCTTCTGACCTACAACCCAAGGCTACGCGCCAAGAACTTAGTCCCGCCAGGAACTTGTGCACTCTACTTGTCACCCAGCAGGGAAACTTTTAATGTTGAAATCTACATGTTTAAGGGATAAAAGACTTTATGGTTTCAAAAAAAAATACATGTTTCTGGTCTGTCCTCCTCATCAGCTCTTGGGCCTCCCAAAGTCAAGAACTGGCTCTGGTTCATCCTAGTGTCCAGGAGGTTGATAATATGCACTGGCTCAATCAGCAGACAGGTGAATGCATGAGTGATGCACCTCACCTGTGTCACACCTGAGTTAGGAGGGCACACCTGAGGGTGCCCCCCAGGCTCCTAACATCAGCAGATAGCAAGCCTGCCATGCCACCCCTGCAGAGCACACAGCTCAGAGGGGCCTGCCCTTCCCACCCAGAACAGCTTCTCCTGCCGCTCCTGAGTCCTGGACCTTCTCCACGCCCGTCCTCAGTGCTGCTCTTCTGCTCCTAGGCTCTTCTCCATAGCTCCTCCTGGTCTCCCCAGCCCCACCCCCTGGACCAGTGCCCCCCTCACACGCTGTCCTGATTCTGTTTGAGACTCAATCTCATTTGTCACTTCACACATGCCTGGTGTTTGTTTAACGTGGGCTCTAAGAGGGTGAAAATTGGGCTGCTTTCTTACCATTCTTTTGCCAGGGGCTAGCCAGAGACTAAATGGATGGCACTGACTGTGTGTGAGTGGGCAAGCAAGGGCTGAGCTGATGGCAGTGTTCCACCTGGAGAGAGGCCATACCGACTACAGGGGACCTGGACGCCCTATGTCCTTCTCTCCCTACTCTTCTTCCTGCAGTGAGTCACCCACACTCGTGGCCCTAGCCACCCGCTCCATGAAAAAGGGCCCCACCCACCCATCACTCTCATGGGCCTGCTCCGCCCAGCACCCCCAACACCATGTTCGAAGTCCAGCCTGCATCTCATGCAGAGTCTTTGAAGTCAGCTCTCGGCGAGCACTCCTCATCAGCCACCCAGCCTGTTTTCTGCTGCCTCCGACCAGAAAGCCTGGCACCATCTCAGCTGCTCAGCCTGTGAGCTGGCACCAGGAACCGCTGGCTCTTGGTGAAGCTGCATCTCAGATGCAGTCCCACAGCTCTGCCCAGGTCTCGGCCTCCTCCAGGACCTGCCTCCTCCCTTCCCCTATCCTGCAGAACACTGCTTCCTCTCCACTCAAACCCCTGCTGCCATCTAGCTCTCCCACATCCCCTAGTCGCAGGTTTCATCTCTAGTGTGGCATCCAGAGCCTTTCCTGATGTGACCCCCTGTCCTCAGCCAGCTTCTCCAGCCTTGCCTGTCACCCTCTGCGCTCTGTGTCCTCCCCTACCCTGAGGGCTTCAGTCAGGTTACACGGGTGGTGACACTGCCCGTCGGCCCTAGAATGAGGCTGCCTGGGTTTAAACCCTTTGGGCAAGGCATTTTACCACACCTTGCCTACTTTCTCCATCTGTAAAATGGGGACAGTAATAGAAGTGACTTCATAGGATTGTTTTGGTCAGTAAATGCAACAAGGTCTTGAGAGCAACTCACATAGCACCTGAGACATGGTAGGTGGTCAACAACGTTCAGTCCCTCCTTCCCCAGGGATGCTGCCCCCTTTCAAATGTCCAACATCAAATGACAGGCATCCATGCTTAGCCAGTTTCCACTGGTGTAGACTTACAGCTCCCTTCTCCTTCCCAGACATCGGCAGGGTATTGTGTCGTTAACAGATAATGATAAATAGCCACGCCAAAAAAAAATTAAGAGAAATAGTTTCAAGAAAGCAACACAGAAACCTGGCACACGGTTGCAGCTCTGTTTTGGCACAGGAACTACAGGAGCCGGAGGTTGTGACAGTAGTCATTTGATAATCCCTTGGAGCTGCCTAATGAGGGGAGTGATGTCATGGAGGGTGATTGGAGGAGAAAATCCACGGTAAAAACAGCCCCAGCGTCAGTCAATGTGGAGATGGCACACCAAGCCATCAGCCGCGTCCCTGCCTCGCTGACTAACCCGAAGTCAAGGGACCCCCATCAGGAGATGGTTTAGTTGAAGTGTGACATACAATATATGGGCGCAATGGAGGATCTACTTGACTTGTGTGGTTTCTGACAGGATAAATTTCTACGCTAGCAAACTAGGTTCCGGAGTTAAGCGCTCCCTTCCCACCTGGGTGAAGCACTCACTGCTTCTGTACTTCACAGTGAACAGGAAAACTATTCTCTCCCAGTCCTGATAGCCTTCAAGCCACTGCCCTTTGTCCCTCTTCAAATTTCCTGTCTCCCGAGGAAAGGGCTGTCTGGACTTGGGGTCTACACATTGGCTCTCTGCATTCACTCCTCAGGTCCCCCAAACCTGGCTTCGCCTGTCACCATCCAGAGTGCCCTTTGGGTAGAGGTGAGTTTGCTCACTGCCCCTGCACATCCCCAGCAGCTCCCCCACCCCTGCACAAAAATCATCAAAGTCATGCACAATACCACCCACAAGACACAGAGGGCAGCTGTGGCCGGCCAGGTCCCCAGTGCTCTTGCCCTCCCATCCCCGCCGTGGCCTCTGGTCTCACATGCCTCTGAGCCTCCTGGCCAACCCTGAACCCTCACTCTGTCTCCGTGGCTTCTGCACCTGATTCTTTCCATCTTGATTTGGACTTTGGTTCCCAGCCTATTTGTGACTAACTGATCCCCATTCTAGATTTGCCCCATTTCCACGATTTGACACTCCCACTTCCCGCTGCCAAAGGCTTCTACAAGGGTCATATGTTCTGCCTGGAGCTTGCCAACACTAATGATGCCCAAATCTCTATCCTGAATGGGAACCCCCTGTAGCACTCCAGACCTTCCTATACAACTGACCCCACTTGGGTGGCCCACAGGCGCCTCAAATGCCACAGGTTATAAACTGAACTCCGTATCTTCCCTCTTCCTGCTCCTTCGTTGCCATCTGTCACTAATGGCACCAACACCACTTAGTGTCTGAGGTTACCCTGCTTGACTCTTCTACCTCGCTCTCATAGCCAATCAGTCACAGGCTCCCCTTCTACCGTCTCCCCTGCCCACCTGCCTCGAGCCTCTCCTCACCCCACCCACCCTGGGCTATGATTAGCAGTCTCCAAGCCCGCAGAATAAAAACCCACCCACTCCCTGGGTCAGGGAGCACAGTAGGTGGGGAGTGTACAGGGTGCTGGATGTGGCCAGAGCCTGACCCTCCTGGGGATAGAACACACAGCAATGGGACAGGGACTAGACAGGAGTAGCACTGAAGCAGGGGGCGGGGAAGGACTCTGAATATCAGGCCACCTTCTGAAGTTTTGGGGTAGTTTGTGAAGATTGTATGGAAACACACATGAAGATGGAGGGTGTGGGGCAAATATGCAATATACAAGGGTGACCCCTCAAAGCCCGGCTCACTGAGCTGACTGCAGGCAAAGTGCAAAGTTGTAAAAATCGAGCCCTTAGTAAGCTTCCCAAGCCAAAGACACCAGAGGCCCTCTATCTGTTTTCCCTCTATCCTCTCTTCCCAAGTGGCATGGGCAGGATTCAGCGCAAACGGCTGGGAAAGGGCACCTGTGGGCTCTCCCTGAGATACAGCCACGTCCCTCTGGGATGGGGTCCCATAGCAACAACAGATGGCTCCGTGGTGTGATGGGTTCGGGTGGTTTTATCTCTGTTTTCCCTGTTTTGGTTTTTGAGAATGCATTTTTATTTTAACACACTCTCGGTTTCCTCTAGTTCTTGTTAGAAATAGAGGAGGTGTTCATGCTGAAATGAGCCCTACAAGGTTCCCTGCAGATGTGGGTCAACTCCGTCTGGAAGATGTGGAAAGCTCCTGGAACGCCTCTTACCTGCAATGTCGCAGAGTTCTGCATCCGAAGCATTTGCCAAGGCTTCCTCCAGCTCCGGTTCCAGCGTCACACTTTCCAGCACGGGATCCATTGGCTTCTGCTTAGGAACCCAGACCTTTCCTGCAAACACACAGGGGACCTGTTAATGGAGTGGTTGCAATAGGGCGGCCTCTGGAGATGGCCCTGCATGGACCACTGTACAGCCCTGTGGGTCCCTCCGTGCTGAGAGTCCTTTCAGGTTTCTCCCTCTAGGGACCAACTCCCAAAAACAGGAACCAGGGATCTCCAACACAGCACCCTTCACACTTGAAAAGAAAGATTTTATAACTCGGTCCAAGCCAACTACCCTCTATCAAAAACATTGGTCATAACCAAACAATCTGTAAGGAAAAAAATACAAAAGAAAAATATAATAGAATGTCAGGATCTGGGACACCCTAACCAAAGGTTCTGAGACCTTGAGAAATGAGAGAAAAATGTATAAACATTTCTAAACAAACAAATAAAATACGAAAAGGGAGCAAAAAATGCATCCTTGCCTCATTACCATATTTTTTAAGTGTCGGATTCATAATGGAATAAGGGGAGTAGAGGTACCTATGAGGATGGTCACTGTCATGTCCACTCATAGGAACTGGTGAAGAAATTACAGTGCATCCATACAATGGACTTCCAGCAGTTAACAGAAGGACGATGGAGATTGCTACTTACTAAGGAGCATGCCTAGGACAAATGTTGTGTGATAGTGCAAGTTTACAAAGTAGCACGAACAACTTAATTCCATTGATGAGAAATTGCATATGTATATTTATTTATGCAACAATATTTATTGAGTGTTTCTTATGTGCCAGGCACCTTTCTAGGGGTAAGGGAGAGTAGCGAGTAAAATCCTCAAGAGCTTCCAATGTAGTAAAAGGAGACAGATAATAAACATATAAAGATATGGAAATGGTACCAAGCATTATGGAAGGAGACAAAGCAGGACAAGGGCCTAGAAGATGCCTGGCTGGGGAGTGGGTGGGGGGCACTGCTGTTTTGGAAAGGGTAGTCAGAGAATGCCTCACAGAGATAACAGACTGTAATCTGGGACCTGACAGAAGTGAGGAAATGAGCCCCTAAGATCAGAAACAAGACAAGGGTGCCCAGTTTTACTGCTGCTATTCAACATTGTACTGGAAGTTTCCATCAGAATAAATAGGAAAAAGAAGTCAATGGAATCTAAACTAGAAAGGAAAAAGGAAAATTATTTGTTTGTAGACGATATAATCTTATGTGTAGAAAACCCTGAATTTCTACACAAAAAACTATTAGAACTAATAAAGTCAGCAATATTGCAGGGTACAAAATCAACATACAAAACTAAGTGGTATTTCTGTACATCAGCAATGAAAAATTTGAAAAGGAAATTTAAAAAGCAATTTCATATAATGCATCCAAAAGAATAAAACTTGGGAATAAATTCAACCAAAGAGATAAAAGACGTGTACAATGAAAACAGTGAAACATTACTGAGGGAAATTGAAGACCTAAATCAATGGAAAAATATTTTAAGTTAATGGATTGGAACACTTAATATTATTAAGATGGCAGCGCTACCGAAAGCAATCTACAGATTCAGTGCAATTCTTACCAAAGTTCCAGGAGTCCTTTTTCTAGACATAAAAAAGGCGATCCTTAAATTCATCTGAAATTTGGACCACAAATGCCAAAACAATCTTGAAAAAGAGAAAAATTAGATCACTCATACTTTCTGATTTCAAAACTTACTAAAAAACTAAACTGCGTAGTGCTGACGTAAGGATAGACAGACAGACAATGAAATAGAATTGACGGTCCAGAAAGAAACGAAAACATTTATAGCAAATTGATTTTTAAAAAGGGTGCAAAGTTCATTCAATGGGGAAAGAATAATCTCTTCGACAAATGGTGTTGGGACAAGTGAATATCCACATGCAAGAGAATGAAGTTGGACCCCTATTTCACATCATATGTAAAGTTGAACTCAAAATGGAATGACTTAAATATAAGAGTTAAAACTATAATATTCAGGCTGGACAAAGTGGCTCATGACTGTAATCCCAGCACTTTGGGAGGCTGAGGTGGGCAGATTACTTGAGGTCAGGAGTTCGAGACCAGCCTGGCCAACATGGCAAAACCCTGTCTCTACTAAAAATACAAAAATTAGCTGGGTGTGGTGGCGCCTGTAATGCCAGCTACTCAGGAGGCTGAGATAGGAGAACTGCTCGAACCTGGAAGACAGAGGTTGCAGTGAGCAGAGATTGTGCCACTGCACTCCAGCTTGGGAGACAGAGTGAGACTCCATCTCAAAAAAAAAAAAATATATATATATACACACACACACACACACACATATAATTATTAGAAGAAAACATAAGGATATGTTTCTATGACCTTAGAATTAGCAATGGAGTCCTAGAAATGACGAAAACATTAGCAACAAAAGAAAAAATAGATCAATTGGACTTCATCAGAATTTAAAAGTTTTGTGCATCTAAGGCTACTATCAAGAAACTGAAATGACAATATCCAGAGGGGAAAATATTCACAAATCACATATATGATAAGGTCTAGTATCTAGAATACAGAAAGAACTTTTACAACTCAACCACTAAAGGAAAAACAACCCAATTTTAAAATGGGTAAAAGATTTGAATTAACATTTCTCCAAAGAGGATATACATATGGCCAATAGGCACACAAAAAGATGCTCAGCACCATGGCTTGTTAGGGAATGCAAATCAAAACTACAATGAGATGCCACTTCACACCCATGAGGATGGCTACAATTTTAAAAAATGGAAAATTTGTGTTGGAAAGGATGTGGAAAAGTGCAGGCCTTGTACATTGCTGATAGGAATGTAAAATGGTGTGGTTGCTATGGAAAAGATGTTTGGCAGTTACTCAAAAAATTAAACATAGGCTGTACTATATGATTCATCCATTCCATCCCTAGGTATATACTCCCAAAGAATTAAATACAGGTAGGTATTCAAACAAATACTGGTACAGGAATGTTCAGAGCAGCACTATTCACAATAGCCAAGAGGTAGAACTAACTGACATGTCTATCAGTGGATGAACGGATAAACAATCGTGAAATATCATTCAGGTATAAAAAGGAATGAAGTAGCGATTTGTGCTGTAACATGGATGAGTCTAGAAAACATTGTGCTCAGTAAAAGAAACCAGACACACAAAATCACATATTGTATGATTTCATTTCCAGGAAATATACACAATAAGTAAATCCACAGAAACAGACTGGTGGTCACCAGGGGCTGGGGCAGAGGGAGCCGTAGAGTACTTAACTGTGTAATGGGGACAGGGCTTTGTTTGGAGCAACAGAAGTGTTTTGCACCTTCATAGAGGTGGTGGCGGCACAGTGTTGTGGGTTGTTCATTTTTAAATGGTTAATTTTATGTTACGTAAGTTTTACCTCAATTTAAAAAACCTACACAGCTCACTGTAGCTGTTGATGGAGGATAAGCTGATGGGGGTGCGGGTGGAGGTGCGGGGATGCTTAGGAGGTCGGTGTGGGTGCAATACCAGAGTTGTAATGATGAAGGCTGAGAGTGAGTGGGAAGCGCAGAGAGAAATATCCAGAAAGATCTTCACTAAAATGGGATCAGTGCTTATTTTCAGTGAAGGAAATGATTCTGAATTACTTAGCTTTATTTTGTAAATTGTTTATAGCAAAAATCAATTATCTATCAACAAAACACGCAACAGAATCATTTGGGGAAAAAAATGTATCATAACCTCTGTTAATATCAGATTCCAGGGATCCAGAAAAGAGGAACACATACAAGGAAAACAAAATCCCTAAAAAGGAACTCAAGTATTAAAATGACTAATGCGATGTCTGAGATGAATATTCAATAAATATTTAAGACCTGTGGTTTATTATACCCCATAACAGGTTCCTCCAGTGAGGGTGGCAACCCTGAGCCACTGTAAGAGGGACCTAGACTTCTTCCCTTCGTCTTACTAGAGGCATGTGAATGTGATGGCTGGAGCTTCAGCAGCCAGATAGACCATGAGGACAAAGACAGGTTGTAGGGATCGCAGAATGAAAAGCTGGAAAGGGTTGCGGTCCATGATGCTAAGCAATATGCCTTACTAGCCCCAGAAAGCCTAAGAAAATTAAACTCCTTGATTAAGTCTCTGTTACTTTTTATATTTTCCCCCCAGCACTTGCAGCCAAATCTAATTCTAATGAAAACATCCTGCATGGAGTTGTATTTTGGTCTCCCCCACTTGAATGAAAAGGCCTTGCTTTCCAAACTTCTCAGGACTTTGTGCCAGTTTATGGCTCTTCCCACATACTATGAGGTCTTGCAGTATGGGGTGCGGTTTTCCGGCAGCCCAAGCTGACTGTAGGCCTGGTGTGGGGGAAGTGCTGGGTAGAGGCTGGACTGAAATGTCCCTGCGCCTGCCAGTCAGAGCTGGAGGGTCTCCTGCTCCACTGGCTCTGAGACCTCCACTTATTCAAGCCATAAGAATTCCACAAACTAGCATTTAAATACTCTAAGATGATAATGACAATGATGAGAATGATGAACCCTTTAGGCTTGTCGCTGTATGGAAGTACAATGAACGCTAACTATTCTCCTTGGTCAGCCTGGTTTTTCATGAAGGGAGTCCAGCTCTGGGAGGCTAGAGAGCTTTTCCCAGCTCTGCCCAGTCCAGTGTTCCATGGAGGAGTGGCAGGATTGTGTGCCACTCAGACTCCCTTTTCATCCCCGACACCATCCTCCAGGTCCTCCCTTGTGAGGGGTGTGGGTACATGAGGAAGTGGACGCCAGCACTGGCTCACCTTGCTTGGTGTCCACCCAGGCCTGCTGCCCATCCCCACTCCCTGCCCTTGTCCTCACCCTCTCTCCTGCCACCCCATCCAGGATCCCTCTGACCACGCAATACTTTCACAATTCAGAAGCTCTATAATCTAGATGTCCCTTACGCCTCCCTGGCCTTCCAGTTTTCAGTGAAATCTGGATTGAGCTCCAGTTCCAGGGTTTGGAATGGCTCGAAGTCCTCTGCGCAACGTCTAACCCTGCGTGCGTCCTCGTTTTATGAAGCAGCTACTCAGTACTGGGCATTGTGCAAATACAACAGCGATACAGGGGTGCCAGCCGCAGACATGGACCCGGGGCTCACAATGCTTGCATTCTTGGGGGGTGGAGAGAATGGAAGAGACTGAAAAGAACCAATTAATTACACAACTAATTAATTAGAATTAGTGCTTTCATTTAACGAATATTTATTAGGTGCCTTCTATGTGCTAGGGATTTATTAGCTGCTGGGAACAAAATGATGAACAAGACAGATACGGCCTTTGCATTTGTGGAGCTGGCATTCTAAGGAAGTAGTGCACAAGATCCATTAAACATTTATTTAATTTTAACTCATCCATTCACCCAACAATTCTCTACTCAATCCTACTATACAGCAGGCCTCATGCTGGCTGCATGCTGGCGGTACCACTTGAGCAAAAACAGCCCAAGTGGATGCCCTCAGGGAGTTGACAGGCTAGTGAGAGAGATGAAAGATAAAGCGATGCTGATAAGATGTGAGTTCGTCTGAAGGACACACACAGGCCCCTGAGTTGGAGAATAATCAATCAGGGGAGTTGGAGAGGGGTTGCCTGTCCTGAACAGAGTAGACAGGGATGGATTCCCTTAGTTGAGACCTAAAGGATAATAACAACTAAGACTTAGGCAGCATTCACTTCGGGCCAGATGCTGTTCTAAGCGATGGACAGAAATCTGAACTCACTTAGTCCTCATTACAACCTCATGAGGCTGGTATTTTCATCGTCCCTGTTTTACAGAGGAGGAAATGGAGGCACAGTGGGTTAAAACATTTACAACTATTCACACAGCTAGTAAGTGTAGTGCCAGGATTGCAACTGAAATAGATCTAGCTCCAGGCTATTTCTAACCATTATATCTTAACAGGCAGGAGGAGTTAGCCATGAAGAAGACAGCATGGAGCTGGGGACCAGGACCATATATAGGGAGTATGTGCAAAGGTCCTGAGGTGGAAAGTTTGAGGAGCAGAAGGAGGCCTGTGGGACAATGGGATCAGGGGGATAAAAGAGGCGGGTAGAGGGTTTGGAGAGCAATGGGAAGTCCTAGAAGAATGGATGACCAGAGAGGCCCTGTCTGTTCCCTGGGACCTTCAAGATGTTTTGCCTCAGGCTGGAGCAGAGAGTATAGAAGGATAGACAAAGGAAGGGAAGCTGCAGCTGCCAGAGAGAGGAACTTTGGAGAAAGAGCAGAGAGAATCCAGGTGGAGATGGTTAGTTCATCTCTAATCCCTGGTTTGCACAGGATGGTCCCTGCTTAGGCCTCATGTCCTGATGTCTTTTTTTTGAGACTGAGTCTCACTCTGTCACCCAGGCTGGAATGCAGCAGCGTGATCTCCGCTCACTACAACTCCTGCCTCCTGGATTCAAGTGATTCTTCTGTCTCAGCTTCCTGAGGATCTGGGACTACAGGATTTGTGTCACCACACTTGGCTAATTTTTATATTTTTAGTGGAGATGAGGTTTCACCATGTTGGCCAAGCTGGTCTCAAACTCCCCTGACCTCAGGTGGTACGCCTGCCTTGGTCTCCCAAAGTCCTGATGTCATTATGAACAGTCCCTTCTTTCACTCTCAGAACTGTCTAGGTTTCCATAAAAAATAATCAGAACATCCTGGGAAAGGGGGTTTAGGGAAAAGTTTGCAGATTTGAGTGAATAGGACTCCTTTCTCAGTCTACCCCAAAACTTCATGAAATCTACATCATCCGCAGATGCTTTTGAAGTTGGGTTTGGGTGTTTTGGCCAGGCAGGGATGAGGACAAGGAGGCCCAGTCACATTTGGCCCAGCACTGGGCCTGGCAGGGCCTGGTATACAGTCAATGATGCATGGTGAGTGGCACATTCATGACAGCAACATTGTTCAGTACCTCGTTTTTCCCCTGTGTAGGGGACCAGATCTTCTCGGTCCTTAAACTCCTTTGCTTGCTTTTCCAAGTGATCCAAGAGCTCCTCTCTTTTAAAGGGGCCCGTGGGCGCCTTGGTGGTCTGATCCTTTTGCCTCAGGCCTGCAGGCAGCAGTGCATTCTACAGGGGAGGTTGTGGGGGGGCAGGAGAGAGAGAAAGAGAGAGAGAGAAAGAGAGAGTGGTCAGCTGCTGAAGACTCGCACTTCTCCAGAAACTCATTATCAGACAGCAGGGACCTCAGAGCTCATGGAATCCATGGTGTCCCTTGTTTTACATGTGAGGAATCTGAAACCCCAGGAGGCGCAGGGCTTGCCCAAGGTCAAAGGCAGAGAAAGAGCAGAGAGAGGCTGGGACTCAGGTTTCCCAATACTCCAGCATGTCCCTGCCTCTAACATTTTTGAAAACGAGAAGGTGAGGGGTCAAGGCAGCCGACTCAAGCCTGAGCACAGAGGACCCTGAAAGAGCATCTGTTGAGGGATGAATATGATTGAGTTGTTGTTTGGATGCATAAAGGTATTAACAGGAGTTGAGTATCAAGTGGTTGGAAAGAGAAGCAGCCAAAGGGGGTTGACCTGGGGCCCTGGATGGAGAGTCAGGCAGGAAGAGGCAGACAAAAAAAAAAAAAAAAAAAAAAAAGCTGGAGAAAGGCCCAGGAAAGCATCGAGGTGAGCAGAGCCCTGCAGAGCTAAGAGGTGGGTGGGGCATGCTCTCTGGGCACAGCCCCTGCTGGCTTTACCTCTCACTGCCTTCTCACCTCCTGACGGGTGTGTGCTCACGACACACTGGTGGTTAAATATTTTGAACGTCGCCCCTGGAGATGGGTATCTCAAGAAACATAACATCAACCAACTGTTCCCTTCTCTCCTTCAAACATAAGCAGGCTTCTAGGTGAGGGCTTACTACTAAAGCAGACTCCTAATTAGGGGGGATTGGAGTTACCTTCACCGGCTTCACTTTAACTCAGCCCCCCGTACCTTAGGGAGTCAAAGGTACAAGCTATCATCCTTTAGCTGCAAGGATGCTCAGAGATTATCTAGTGCATACACTCTCCAACAGGGGAAACTGAGGCCTGGAGCAAGGAAAGATTTGCCCAACGAGTTTCAGGACAGGTCTACAACAAAAACCAGGGTTCTTCTTCAGATTTAGGGGAGGAGGAAGATCTTCATTTCTAATCGCTGTGTTCTTCCTGTCTCTTCCTGCATTTGCAAAGCTAGCAGGGAGGCTGGTATGGAAAGAACATCACCCCAAAGATATGCACCCTCAAACTGGCTAAGTTGAAGATGGTCTCCCTCTATTGCACGCAGGCTGGAGTGCAGTGGTGTGCTCTCTGCTCACTGCAGCTTCTGCCTCTCGGGTTAGAGCGATTCTCCTGCCTCAACCTCCAAAGTAGCTGGGATTACAGGCGCCTGCCACCACACCCAGCTAATTTTTTGTATTTTTAGTAGAGTCAGTGTTTTACCATATTGCCCAGGCTGATCTCAAACTTCTGACCTCAGGTGATCTGCCCACCTTGGCCTCCCAAAGTGCTGGGATTACTGTACCCGACCCCACCTCCAATCTTTGTATCATCAAAAATGCATATCTTTAGTCACTCTCACAAACTCCAAATCCTTTTCTGAAAGTCCCCTCTTTAAGGGGACTGTTATCAGGCATTTGAAGATCAACGTATGCCTGGCACATAGAGGGATACAGCCTGGGAGGGAATACTACTGTTTAATGCATCATGTTTTAAAAGATGTACTATCTTTTTTTTTTTTTCTTTTTTGAGGCAGAGTTTCACTCTCGTTACCCAGGCTGGAGTGCAATGGTGCGATCTCAGCTCACCACAACTTCTGCCTCCCAGGTTCAAGTGATTCTCCTGCCTCAGCCTCCTGACTAGCTGGGTTTACAGGCATGCGCCACCACACCTGGCTAATTTTGTATTTTTAGTAGAGACGGGGTTTCTCCATGTTGGTCAGGCTGGTGTTGAACTCCCAACCTCAAGCGATCCACCCAACTCAGCATCCCAAACTGTTGGTATTATAGGCATGAGCCACCACGTGATGCTTATGCTTTTAACACCACAATGCTGTTTCAATAAGAGTCGTGGCTGTAAGGTCAGGAGACTGGGCTGTGACCCTGCCTCTGAGAGGGCTGGAAGTGAGCAGGGCCCACCCAGCACAGAGCACGGATGGACAGATAACAGGCCTGGCAAGTGGTGCTGGTGTGCTTGCAGACAGCTTTAGGCCACAGATCAAAAGAGACGATAGGAGTTGAAGCTTTTTATGAGAGGACAGTAGGTAGAAAACCAAGGCCCAACTGACTTGGGGTTGGAAGTTTCAGGAACATAAGTGATGCTCGCACATCCCAGTTTTCCTTAGGCACTCAGATATTGTCCACCATGATAGGCAGGACAGATGATGCTCCCAGGTGAGCCATGCTTCTGTGGGCATGTCCCAGGTTAGATGGGACTTCCTGTAGCTAGCTGTATCTGCCTACTTCTTCTCTTCCATGGCAGGGAGCTTACTGTGACGCAAGAGAGTGAGAGAATACCTCATTGCCCTGCAAATGTCAATGTGTGACTACCCATAATGGATAATCTGAATTCTTTGTGACATGCCTGCACCTCATAGGTGACCCCACATCAGGCTTCAGCCCTGACTTGGAGTAATAATGATCCAACTGCACAATATTGGACAAGTCCCCTAAATCTCACTGTGCCTCAGTTTCCATGGCTGTAAAATGTGAATAATGAGAGTTGCTCTCTCATAGAGTGGTTGAGAAAATTAAACAAGATAATGCAGAAAGTGTGCTTAGCATAGTGCCTAACGTAGTGAACAGCCAAAAATGGGTACTTATGGTCACTTCCATTGTTATATAATCAGGTAAAATATATGTTAATAGAAGATTGGTTACCCAAATACATATGTTTAACAGGGAATGCATTATCCAAGTATAAGTTCAAAAAACTAAAACACACAAATATAAAATGAATTAAGCACTGAAAGCAAGTGCTCCTGCTTCTTAGGGATCCCCACAGGGAAGGCCTACAGATTTTCATTACCATAAAGGGTTTTGACGTCAGTAAGATGCTGGGGCACATTCTGGCCCCAGAAAGGCTAAGTATTGCAATAGAAGAAATCCAGGGGTCGTAACTGAGGGGAGAAGGGTTTGCAGACTCTCATCTCTTTTCCAGTCTATCTGGTAGCAGCCACAGATTTAGTTAAAGCAGAGTTTCTCAACTTCAGCACCACGGACATTCTGGGCTAGATACTTCCTTGTCGCGGAGGCCGTCTACCCACTGGAGCTTGTTTAGCAGCCTTTCTGCTCTCTATCTCCTAGATGCCAGGAGCACTGTCCTTCAAGTTGTGACAAACAAAAATGTCTCCAAACATTGCCAAACTTCTTCTTCTTCTTCTTCTTCTTTTGATAGAGTCTCACTCTACTGCCCTGGCTGGAGTGCAGCGGTAGGATTTCGGCTCACTGCAACCTCTGCCTCCCGGGTTCAAGCAATTCTTCTGTCTCAGTCTCCTGAGTAGCTGGGACTACAGATGCATGCCACCATGCCCGGCTAATTTTGGTATTTTTAGTAGACATGGGGTTTCACCATATTGGTCAGGCTGGTCTTGAACTTCTAACCTCAGGTGATCCACCCACCTCGGCCTCCCAAAGTGCTGGGATTACAGGCGTGAGCCATGGTGCCCAGCCACCATTTTTCCTTTGAGGGGCAAAACTGCCCCTGATTGAGAACTACTGCATTAAATAAAAGGCCATATAATTATAATATGTTGTATAATAAATATGTTGTAAATAATATGTTGTATTTCAAAAATATTATTTACATAACATAAAAATATGGCTTCATTTATTCAAGTCTTTATTGAAAGCAGTTGATTTACAAAAAACAAAAAAAGTCAAAGGCCTTTTTTAGTAACTCTAAGCTTATCACATTTTTAAAGTAAATATTGAAAATATCAGCCTCATTAGGAGTTAGTTTGTTTTCTTTCTATTAAATGGTATGTTTAACAAAATATCACATGATTTTCAGCTAAAACCCAAAGATAGCTACATATTTTTAAGCTCCTGATTGTTTATCACTTTAATTCGTTTTCAAAAACAGCATGTGATCTCCAATTATATATAAAAACTAACTCAAAAGGAGTCAAAGACCTAGATATAAGAACTAAACTATAAAACATTCGGAAGAAAACATAGGCATAAATCTTTCTGACGCTGGATCAGGCAATGGTTTCTCAGATAAGATATCAAAACAATAAGCAACAAAATAAAAAAGTTGATAACTTGGACTTCATCAAAATTAAAAACATTTGTGCTACAAAGGACACTAGTGAGAAGACAATCCACAGATTGGGAGGAAATATTTGTAAATCATGTATCTCATAAGAGTCTCATATCTAGAGTACATAAAAATCTCTTATAACTCAATAATATATGACAAATAACAAAAATGGGGCCAGGCATGGTGACTCACACCTGTAATCCCAGCACTTTGGGCGGCTGAGGCAGACGGATCACTTGAGGTCACGAGTTTGAGACCAGCGTGGCCAACATGGAGAAACCCCATCTCTACTAAAAATACAAAAATTAGCCAGGCATGGTGGCACATGTCTGTAATCCCAGCTACTCAGGAGGCTGAGGCACGAAAATAGTTTGAACCTACGAGGCAGAGATTGCAGTGAGTCAAGATTGCGCCACTGCACTCCAGCCTGAGCAACAGAGCAAGACTCTGTCTCAAAAAACATATAAAAATAAAAATAAAAATGGGCAAGTGGCTGGGCACAGTGGCTCATGCCTGTAATCCCAGCAGTTCTGGAGGCCAAAGGGGGCAGATCACCTGAGGTCAGGAGTTCGAGACAAGTCTAGCCACATGGTGAAACCCCATCTCTACTAAAAATACAAAAATTAGCCAGGCATGGTGGCACACATCTGTACTCCCAGCTACATGTGAGGCTGAGGTGGGAGGATCATTTGAACTTGGGAGGTGGAGATTGCAGTGAGCTGAGATTGTGCCAATGCACTCCAGCCTGGGTGACAGAGCTCCATCTCGCAAAAATAAAAATAAATAAATTTTTAAAAACAGCCAAGTGATCTGGATAGACATTTCTCCAAAGATGATATAC